ACAATACTTGTTGATTGCTCCCTTTCGCTTCACTTTTGTAAGGCAATGCTTCTTTGAAGCGAATTCGTGTTGTACACACACAAGGGCTACAACTTTGGATTGGGTTGGGTTGAGATTTTGTCAAAATTTTGATGAATCTGAATCCTAAGCTAAGCCCAATTGGGCAACCCAGACTTGCAGCCGGTTGCTTTGGTTGCCAATCCACCTTTAGCCACGTGGCCATTGCCCATTGGCATGGGCCTTGGGTTTAAGAGAATGGATGGTGAAGTCCCTTCGTCTCTCTTAAGAGAAGTGGTAGGAAGCAATAACATTATAAAACCATTGCATACTAGGGGCGAGGATGGATGGTTTGGTTCAGTTTCAAGGCAAAAGGTGGAGCCTATGTAGGGGTTAATTCCAGGTTTCCGGTTCCAATGTCGGTTTTAGGGTCTACCCAATAAATCAATTCCATTCCACAGTTCAAATCCATATCCATGCAGTCCTTCAATCTTAGAGAAAATAAAACATGGTCCACAAATAACCTAAATAATATCACATAATCATCACTAATCCTTGATTCAACTCCATACACATAATTCACCATTCAAACCCATACGCTAAGGTCAAATTGTACATAGGCCGGTTCTACCAAGGCCGATCAAGGCCGGTTCTTCAGATTGGTTCAGGTAGAGCAAATCCCCCTAAAACCTTGGAACTAGTCTGAGTGAGGGTTGGTTCCAAGAATTGGAACCAGATCCTTTCCAAGAACCGAATGGACCAAAACCGGTTCAAAATTGGTTACAATTGGTTTTGGGTGGAATTGATCAATTTGATCACCCTTATTGGATACATCGCCTTGTAGGCATGGTTGGTCCTAAATTAGATATTAGTTTCTGAGCCCAAATACGAAATGATTAACAATGACATCCACTCCAAAGATGTAATGACTAATGACTAAAGAGGTCCCTCCAGCAATACCAATTTTGATGCAAACCAATTTGTGGGACAAGACTGGACTTTTTGAAAGATATACTCTGAGAAAAGTTGTGAAAAAATAAACTTCACATGGATAAAGAGTTGGGTTTGCTGCCAGCTGATATTTTTGCTTTTTCTCTCTATTTTTTTGCTACCATATAACCAATCACTCCAATTCACCTCTCTCTTAACTTTTTTAATTGTTTGAATTCTTTGTAGTTAGGCCGTGTTTGGCATTGATGCCGTTTCAGAAAATGGTGATATATCAGCACCACATTGGAAAAATCGGTGTTCTAAACCACATCTTGGAAATCAATAAGGCATGGTCTGGACATGATGTGGCAGGGATGTGGACTTCCTATAATGGGTACTAGTGCTGAAAACAGATATGGAGCATTGGTACCAAACAGAAGGTGTTGTTGTTGCCCCAGGAAACGTCTTACCTGGCAGCAACGTTTCCAAACAAAAAAATAAAACACTGTTTTTCTGAGAAAACGGTGCTGTATATGCAGCGTTGATGCCAAACATATATCTAGTTTCTTTCACTTCATGGTTCATAACTGTTTTTCCTCAAGGATGTGATTGGTTTGAAGAAAAAGGTGGGGAAACCCCTACCTTTCCCTTCCTTTCTTTACTTTATTTTTTTTATTTTTTTGATTTTTTTTTGAAGGGCTACGCAATGGGATAACCCATCCCCCAACTCATAAACCCCCAACCCAGGTGCAGGCCGGATTCGACCCTAAGTCTCTGTTACAACCAATAGGAAACCTTATCAAATACTGCTTAAAATTCTGAGACCGGATTCTATGCCCACAAGAACCCTGCCCACACCTACGCACAATACACCACCCCCCGTGAATTGGGAACATCTCCCCCTGCATAATACTATGCAGAGGATGAGATGTTCTCCATATGTGACTGCGATATACATGGGCAGGAGATCCAGAGTCTAAAATTCTCTCTCCGATCTCTATTCCTTTTCCTCACCTCTAAACCCTGCCAACTTATGTCGTTGGATTTTTTTTTTTTTTGACTTTTTGTTTCTCACACCTGTGCATGCACCCTTTCAAATGCATGGCTTTCTTGCTTAGTCTATATAGTTCTACTTATGTTTTCTGTATGCCCATAGAGTGGTTTAAAGTTTAAACCCAAGTCACCTAAGAATACCCAAGGTCTAAATATACTCGTTAACCACTAAGCTATCTTAGTTCTTTCGTTAAGGAGTGAAATAAAATAACTTTTATTAACTCAGTGTCTATATGCAATCCAAATAAATAATGCATAGTTATGTTTAATAATTTCAAATTAAAATTAAAAAGAATAATATTTAAAATTAGTATTTTATAAATTAATGAATAAGTGATATATCAATCCACGTTAAAATCAAAAGATAATTTTAATATCAAGAAATATATACAAATAAAATATTAATAATAGAATAATTATTTTACTACTTAAAATTTATAAATTTTCACATGATATGTATCTTAAAATTAATATATATATATATATATATATATATATAACAACAAATTTATTATTTACAAAACATTCAAGAATATAATATTAAATTTAATCTATCAAATCTACTAATGTACATTTATATCATAAATTATTTTTAATTTCAGAAAATTTATAAAAATAAAAATGTTAATAATGGAATGATTATTTTAGTAATTAAAACTTAGAATTTGCATATGATGTGTATCTTAGAAATTTTATGAGATTTGATATATTTTAAGTTGAGATTATATATTTTTATAAATTATTAATTAATATTTTAATTTGTATTTGAGAATTTAATATTTGATTGACTTTTTGTGTTTGTAAAAAAGTAAAGATATTAAAATAGAAAATAATTGATATAATAATTAAAATATAATAGATGCATATGTTTTATATCTTGGACTTTTGATTGATGTATTATTAATAAAATTGTATGATATCTATGCATCTTGTGGTATTAATTGTAATATATTTTTTCATATACACCATTGAAATATATTTTATATCTTTATATATTATTTTTAAATATTAGACCTTAAATTTAGTAGTATTAATATATTTATAGAATTTATATGTATTTCCTTGATATAATCAAGTATTTCCATAGGTGAAGGTTATTGTTTAATATACGAATTATCACATCCAGATGCAGACTTGGCAAAGAAGACTTTTGAAGTCACATCTACCCCCCATAGAATGCGCCCCAAAAAAGTCCCACAACACATCCTAACTGTGTATTGGGAACATCTCCCAATGACAAGTACGGGAGATGTTCTCAATGCACACTGAGAATTGGGAACATTAATTCTATGGAGACCGGATCTGCTGCTCACACCTGGCGCCTCATAGGCGCCTCACACGCACATCCTATCATGCATTGGGAACATCTACCGTACTTATTGGTTATTATTCCCGGGAGATGTTCCCAATGCATGGTGGATGTGCCTGTGAGGCGCCTATTTGTGAGGAGCAGATCCTGTTACAATTCTATGGGGGGCAGCTGTGAACTCCAGACTTCGAGACTGGATCTGCTCCTCACACCGACCTCACATACACATGTTCACGGGAGATGTTCCCAATGCATAGTGGATGTGCCTGTGAGGTGCCCATGTGTGAGGAGCAGATCCCGTTCCCCAGACTTCTTAGGGAATTGGGATATGCTCCTCACATAGGGCGCTCATAATGACTTTACAGGCACATCCCACTGTGCATTGAAAGCATCCCCATAAATAATAACACATAAGGCTGTGTTCGGTAGAGGTGTAAATGAGAATCGAGATAAACTTTACACCCTGGTTTGATTTTGTAGGCATTTGGTAGAGGTGTTAATATACCTCATCAATGGGTATAAGAGTCCATTCTTATCAGTATATTCATCGAAGATTAGTGGAAAGTTTACATTGATAAAATCGATGTAAAACTTTACCTTCCTCTTCCTCTGTCCAATGGTTACCTCGTGTCTCCTTTGTCCAATGGCTGCATCTCTTTGTTTGATTGAAGAAGAGAGTGAACCAGCTTTGGCGTATCAGTGAGCGGTGAGCGTATTAGAGTTCGATCGAAGAAGAGAGTATCAGTGAGCGGTGAGCGGTGAGCGGCAACGAGGTATCAAAGTTTCGTCCAGAGAGTGAACCAGCTCCAACATATCAGTGAGCGGTGAGCGTATAAGAGTTTGATCGAAGAAGAGAGTATCAATGAGTGGTGAGTAGTGACAACATATTAGAGTTTTGTCCAGACACAATTCCGACGTATCAGAGTTCCGGTGGCAGTGAGCGACATATCAGTGTATGATCAGTGTAAATTTACACCTTAGAAAACCAAACATGACTGATCGATGTAAATTTTCAAAATCAATCGGCCCCAATTTCTATCATTACTAAACTAGTTCACATTTTTCCATAATGTAACCTCAAGTGCAGCTAAGTACGGGAGATATTCCCAATGGACAGTAGGATGTGCCTGTGAGGTTTGTGCGAGGCACAGATCTGGTCTCCTTAGGATATGCTGCCAGTGTGTCATGAATGTTGAAACTTGACAATAACCCCCTTTGGCCTTCACCCTCCCAAATTCATATATGCGCCTCAGCATATCTCAAGTCCCAACCATGTAGGGGAGAGTGGGAGATATTCCCAATGCACGCTGAAATGTGCATGTGGGGTGCTTGTGATGGGCAAATGTGGATATCGGATTACTTACCAATAAAACACATTCCAACCCTCTACCAATAACATTTACCACCCCACATATCATATATGGCGCGGGTCTCACTTCGGTTTGAGATGAAGTTGGTACTTGATAGAGGGTTGGAACGTGATGGGATCTGCTTCTTACAAATGAGCGCCTCACAGACATATTCATGAAAATGTTCCCATTGCAGGGTAGGATGTGCCTGTGAGGCGCCAATGAAGCGCCAGATGTAAGGAGCATATCTGATCTGGTCTCGGTTGGTTGGCAGAAAATCCCCAATTCGCAGATGTGATCTCCACCCTCCCTCCCTGTGACTATAGAAAGGGCAGACCGGCAGAGGGCTATTCCATATTTACTGTGTACTTGTATCGGCTAAAGCTAAGCTACCCCTCCAGCCCTCCTGCTCTTGAAGTCTTGAACAGAGAGCACCCAGTCCAGACAGCCAAAGTCTTTTATTTTTATTTTTTTTTCTTTCGTTAAAAGCCGATCACTCTCAGTGACTTGTTGATGCTGATGCTCGAACAACGCTGCAAACATCCTTTCTCCCTTCCTCTTTCTCCTTTGTGCATGAGCATATCCCTGTCTAATTCAGCCCCAATTACCATGAAGAAAGGCAGTATTGGAGAACCCATCGTCCAAATCTGCAAAATTAGGGAACCCATCTCCGAATATGTTCATCTCATGCTCTTCTTCCTGCTATTGACCTTCCTCACAGTCACAGCGGCCACAACCACGACCACGATGACCACCGCCAAAACAACAACGACGACGACGACGACGACGACAAGTGCTCCTTTTTCTTCTTCTGACAAAAGATACCTTCCTCCTCTTCCTATTTTGCCCATCCCCTCGGCTCCCCAGCTTTCATGGCAACTGGGGGACATGGCTCTCTTCCTCCATTTTGGCACCAACACTTTCACTGATTCTGAATGGGGTACCGGTCACGCCAATCCCTCCATCTTCAACCCAACCCGCCTCGACGCCCGCCAATGGGTCCGCGTCGCCAAGGATGCTGGCTTCTCCCGCGTAATTCTCACTGCCAAGCACCATGATGGCTTCTGTCTCTGGCCCTCCTCCTACACCGATTACTCTGTTCGGTCCAGCCCCTGGAAGAACGGCACCGGTGACGTTCTGGCTGAATTAGCTGACGCCGCGAGGGAAGCAGGTATTGGATTGGGCGTCTATCTCTCACCCTGGGATCGTCACGAGACATCTTACAGGAAGACTTTGGAGTACAACGAATTTTATATGGGGCAGATGTCTGAATTACTCACCAGGTAAGGAGGATTATTGTTTAATTGTGAATTATGTAAAATGGTTTCCTTTAAAGGAGTTATTTGGTTCAATCTGTTTTCAACTGATGTCATTTGGTTGACTTTACTTTTGGAGAACTATTCATCTTGATCACTTTAGTCCTCTAGATTCCGGATTATTTCATTTAATTCGTAGACATTTTGAAACTACTTGTTTTGGAAAAGCATAAGCATAATTAATGTCGAGATTGATTCAGATATGGGGAGATTAAGGAAGTGTGGTTGGATGGTGCTAAAGGGGAAGGAGAGAAGGACATGGAATACTTCTTTGATTGTTGGTTTAGCTTCATTCATCAACTCCAGCCTGGGGCTGTCATATTCTCTGATGCTGGTCCTGACACCAGGTGGGTTGGGGATGAGGCTGGTGTTGCTGGTTCTACTTGCTGGTCCCTATTCAATCGAAGTTCTGCCAAGATTGGTGACACTGATCCCCAGTGAGTTCTGTTTTCTTCTTTTTTCATACTTGACATTCTCATGTTCTCAAGGTAGAAATTGTTTGGTTTTCTTTGCACTTGAACATAAGATAATTTATTTCTGACAATATAGGCTGGAAGACCATGATAACCTTATAATTTATAACTATATTAGTTTTCTTTGGATCCTTCAATATAAGTCTCATATGCTGGTAGCCAGACTTTACTTCCATATCTGACTGCAGAAGTTCTTTTGATATGTACATTATGATCACAACACTAGTCTCAAAAGTTTATTCTACCCCAGAACGATAGCTTGGCTTGCCAAGGTCTCCAATTACTGTTCCAGATTTTGCCTACTGAACTAATAGTCTTGAGCAACAGGACAGTTTATCCATATGATTAATCTGGTGCTTTAATTCACTAGTTTCATAAAACAAAGTTTGAGAACATAGTGTCTTTGATATCTTAATTTCATTTGAGAAAGCATATGTGGCTTTACTTTTTTTAGTTTTGGAACTCCACCTCCTTTCAGATCTCAGTGGTATCTGATAAATTAACACTAGTTTTATAGGGTTGCAATTAAGCAAGGATTGTCCTTGAGATCTCAATAATTCAGAAATTATTCTCTGTTAGTTGTGTTCATTCAGGAAGTTAAAATCTTTGATTAATTAACAAGTCATTTTGAAACAATAGGAGCTTGAGTTTGTTACCATTACATTATATGTTCAACAGGTATTTACGTGGAGGAGATCCATTTGGGCATGATTGGGTTCCTGCAGAGTGTGATGTGTCTATCAGGCCTGGTTGGTTTTGGCATGCTTCAGAGGTCCCAAAATCTGCAATTACTTTGCTTGACATTTACTACAAGTCTGTAGGACGGAATTGTCTCTGGTTATTAAATATCCCACCAAATTCATCAGGCTTGATATCAGATGAAGATGTTCAAGTGCTTCAAGAATTTAACAGACTACGACAAACCATATTCTCCCATAACTTAGCTAAGAATGCTATTGTTAATGCCAGTAGCACCCGGGGAGGTTTTGGTGATTCTCAGTTTGGTCCACTCCATGTTCTTGAAGAAAGTATTTACACTTACTGGGCTCCTGAGGAAGACCGTTCTGATTGGATAATATACCTTGACTTGGGGGAAATAGTACCATTCAACATGATCCAAGTTCAGGAGCCAATTCACATGGGCCAGCGGATAATGGCATTCCATCTTGATGTTCAGACTGGAGACGGGGAGTGGCAGACAGTAATAAATGGCACTACCGTGGGATATCGGAGGCTGCTTCTGTTTCCAAGAGTTCAATCACAGTGGCTGAGGTTTGTCATTGATAAGTCCCGGGCAGAGCCACTGATTTCGTTTCTGGGGATTTACCTAGACCCGTTTTCGGTTGTGAATGATGCATCTAATACAAGCTCACCACCATTCAATGGTAGCCATGTTGTTCAATTGACAGCTTACAATCATTCTCTCATTTCCACAACTTAGCTTCTGAGTTGGAAGTTCCCTTGAACATGGGAAATCCCAAATAGAATGCTTGTTTTTGCCAATCATCATATAGACTGGATGGCTGTTTCCTCATGATGTCAGAAAATGATAGTTTTCTTTGCCTCGGGGGTGAATATGGAGTAATATTACTTGATTCCAAACCATTAGTTGCAGCAAGATTGCGTTGCTATCTGTTCATTGCTCAGAGGTCGTGGATTTGTACAGACATTTGTTGATCATTCCTGGGAAGGCAGTACCCTTGTAGTAGTATTTGTTCTTTTCTAATTAAAAAAAAAAATCCTCAGCACACTGTAAATAGAACCAAACTTCTATTCCTCTTGCTTATTACCTTTTTCCAGTAATTTTCCTAGCTTATAGACACTTGTTCTGCTAAGTTTATCTATGGTTATCGTTTAGCTTTCTTTCAGCACGTGGCCAGTCATCTTTGAGGATTTCTGAAATTTTTTTTTTCATCTTTGGTTTGGGTAACTTTGAATTCTTGATTGTGAGTTCTAAGCAAGGTTCAAAGTATCGATTTCGTATCAGTACTTAAAAATGGTCAAAATTTTATTTTATTTTTTTCACATTTTGGTTTTTTGGGAAACTTTTAGCATGTTTTTTATTATTAAAAAAATTGAGCTTTTAGCAAACTTTGAACCATGGTTCTAAGTTCATGGTCTAACCAACTTCGGCCAAATGTTTGCATATTGGGCTCTATTTGTTTCTCTTCAAGGGGTTGTAACAGAAATTTTTTCAATGTTTAAAGTGCCAGCTAACACTTTTGGCCCTTCTATGGCCAAAACTATGTTTCTTTCTATCCCTTCTGACTGGTTATAAATGTAGACTTGTGTTTCCCCCAGATTACTCAATCTTGTCGGCATTCAACAATGTGAATATACACTTAGATAAGATGTTTATATATGCATCAGCACTGCTTTCATAGCAAATTTTCCATACAAGGTATCCGTCAATTCCAGATCAGCCCTATGGTCCTCCAGATTTATTGCCAGAAAAAGGTGCCAGTCAGGTAAAACATTTGAGAGAACAGTTTTTTTTTTCTTCTTAAGGGCACTAATGGAATGGAGAATTTTATAGATGTCATTAATGAAAGTGTCCGACAGGACAAAAGGCAATCATAGAAATGCTGACCTCTGAAAGTTCCAGGTCCCAATGGATTGAAACCAGTCATGCACTATTCTATCAAAATTTTTGGGAAAATTTCTTATTAATACTCTGTTCAGTGATAATTTGGTTTGTAAACTTTAAAATGCGATAATTCAGTATTGAACTTTAAAATGTGACAATCCAGTATCTAAATTTTTAAAATATGATAATTTAGTACTTGTCGTTAATGAGTAGTTAAGTGACATTTGAAAAGTCAAAAATGCCTTAAGAATATCATCTATTCTCTTTGTCAATTATCCAAACATTGACAATAAAAGGAATAGTCCCAAATTTTAGATTCTTCTAAACAGTCAACTTTTTTTAATAGAAGTTAGAATTTGGGACTGTTCATTTTATTGTCAATGTTTGGATGGTTGATAAAGAGAATTAGATGGCATCTTAGGGCATTTTTGATTTTTCAAATGTCACTTAACGACTGATTAACGGATTGTCACATTTTGGAAGTTCAAGTACTGAATTGTCACATTTTAAAGTTCAGGGACCAAATTGTCACTCGAGCCAAAGTACAGGGTGATCTTGGTAGTGAAAGCTTTCAGATAAATGCTAATAAATATAAATAATACTTTTTTACCCTCTTTCTAATAGTAAAAGAAAATAAATCCCTAAAGCCTGGATCAATTTAGACCAATAGGTCTTTGTGACGTGCTATACATATTTACTGTAAGAATTTTAGTGGTGAGGATCGAATTGAGAGAAACAAATGGGTATCTCCATTCTAAAGTGTCTTTGTCGTGGGCCATCAAATTTAAGATAACATTCTAACTGCTCATGAAATAAATAGTGCAATGGAAAGGAAAAAAAAATGTATTTTGTTGAAATGTAGATAAAGAGAAAGCCCACAGTAGGTTGGAATTGGGGTTTAAAATAAAATGATAAATTGGATAATAAAATGTTTACAAAAGTTATATATCAAGTTCTAGTAAATGGATGAACCCTTTAACTCAATTTAGGGAATTAGGCAAGAAGACTCCTTACCTACTTTTTGTAATTTGTGCGGAGACCCTAATGAGAAGGGGAAACTCATATGAGTGAAAATATAAAAAAGGGGATTAGAATTCCAATTTTGCAATAGATGACTATCCTTTGCTAAGGCAGCTCTCCTAAATTACAATAAATCAACCCTAAGAAATACTGTACAAATGCCCCACATAAATGTTCAAAGATGTTATCGAGGTGAATTAAAATTCTTTTAGGAACACCAAGGACACATATTTGGGGCCACCTTTGAAGATGTGTTGATAAAGGTAAGAGAAAGACTAGTGGGTTGGAAAGCTAAATCTCTGTCCATAGCTGATAATATTAATAAAATTGGTTACAAGTGCAATGCCTCAATATTTAATGAGATGCAACTCCCCAATAAAAACTAAGGAAAAAGTAAGGAAACCTTTACAAATCTTATATAAGTTTCCCTATATTTCCCTTCCTTTCCCTATCTTTTTCTTCAAATTAAACATAGCCTTAGACTCAGTTTGGGATCCGGTTGTAAAAAAGATAAAGTGTAAACTTGCAAGCTAGAAGAAGGTTACTTGTCAAAAGGAAAAAAGATCACCTTTGTCAAGACTGTTTTATGATATCAAACCTTCTGACGTATTTTATGTCTCTATTTAAAGCCCTAGCTTCTGTTTAAGCAACATAGAAAATCTTGGAAGGGATTTTCTTTGGGGAGGTAAGAAGGTAGAGAGGAAGTTTCATCTGGTTGCTTGGGATGAATTTGTAAGCCTAAACATCAAGGGGATTGGTATAAGTAGGGCTGTCAATTGAACAGGATTTCATCCAATCCGATGCAATCCAATGCGAGTCCATTACAAATGGATCTGGTCCAATCCAATTCAATGTATTGGACTGGTTCAATTCAATGTATGGACTGTCCAATCTGTTCAAGTTTGTTTTAATGTAGATTGGTTCTACCCCAAACTTGGTCCATTGAAACCTTTATACTTATCTTCTATTAATGGGCCAGATATTGGCTCAATCCAACCCAATCCAATATAAATTTATAATAAATGGATTAGGTCCAATCCAATCCAATAAATACTTTGGTCCATTAAGCCTGGATTGGTCCGATTCAATATGTTTTGTTGGCCCGTTTGACCCATCCAATTTGATTTTGGCTTGGATGGGGTCCAATCCAAAACCGGTCCATTGACACCCCTAAAGCAGGTTAATGTGGCTCTTGTATTTCTCCAAATGACTTTGGAGGTTTTCTATTGAAAGCGAGGAGCTTTAGAGGATTTTGATTAAAAATAAATATGGGGAATCAGGCCAACCCATAGAACCCTATGGGCATAGGTTTGTGGAAAGAAATCATGCATAACAGGGAATTGTTTTTCAAACATTGCTCTGATGAAAGAACTCCTGTTCTAGAAAGACCATTTGTGGAGAGTGGAGACAATCCCTTGTAAATCTCTTTCCCTACTAGTTTTGCTTTGGCTGAGAACAAGAATGCCCAAGTTTGTGGTTATTTTGAGGAGGGGGAAAACTAGATAATCTAGATCTTGAGTCTTAGAAGAAGTGTAAATGATTGTGATATTGATTCCTTAACAACCTTGTTGCAATCTTTGGAGCAGATTAAGCCCCAACCAAGGCTGGAAAACAGGATTTGGTGGCCCTATACTAAGACTGGAACTTTTGCAGTCAAATCTATGGCCCATAGCCTATTGAGAGTGGATGTAGCATGGTTTTAAAAAATGACCCAAAATGGAATCGTTCTGGCCATCAGTTTTTGGGTCGGCGGTTTGACTGTCCGGTTTGAACAGATGGGTCCGTCTTGACAAAAAAATTTAAAAATAATTCAAAATAAAAAATGGTCAAAACTGTTGAACAGGTAGACAGTTCGATCGCCCGAATCAATGAATCATTGACTGATTCAACGGTTTTGACCAGAAATCAAGTTTGGGGTAAAACGGAACCAGTTGCCTGAATGATTCCTGGGCCGAACGATCCGACCGTCCGAATCAACAGCTGTTCTAAAACCATAGGATCCGTCGTCCAGATCAACAGCGGTTCTGGATTTAGATTTGAAAGTAGAAAATCCCTTAAAATGTGACTATCTTCATTTGAATAGCTATCAAAGGAAAAAGTCGCTACTATAGATGTTCTGAGAAGGAAAAGCATGTGTATTGTTAATTAGTGTTGTTGATGTTACATGGATGAGGAGAATATCCAACCCCTGTTGAACTGTTTTTTCGCGTCTTGTGACCTAGGTGTCTCCCCCTGACATTGAGGCCCTAATAACTTGTTGGAAGTTATAAGCTTTCAGTAATTTGTAATTAGTTAGGGCTTGTGGCAAGAAAGGAATGGTTGAGCCTTTGTAATTGTACTCCTTCCAAACTGAGCTTATGTGTTGACGATACTCTTCTGCATTACTATGCGCTGATATTGCAAGCCCATCATCTTACAACAATAAGATTGAAAAAACCCTCTAAAAAAATCAGAGCAATGTGTAATTTTCGTACATGTTTTCCTTTGTACCCCTATTTTATTATGAATCTTAAGGAAATTACCACCTTTCAAAAAAAGGGAAAAACCAAATATATACAGTGCAAATATAAGGTTTGAAAATATGGTATACAAGGTTTTGTATTTTACATATTTGTGTTTGTGCTCTTCCCAAATTAACAGTTTTGACCCTAACATCTGTTTGAACAAATTTAATTAAAAGAAAATAAAATAGAAATATCATTTTTGCCATGGCAAAATGTGGGCATCCACTCCATTTGTTCAGTTTTGTTCTCCATTTAATGGAAGTGATAAGGGTGCTTTTGGAATAAACAACCATGGGCCCATATCCCATGTCCTTAAACATTTTTCCATTTGGTTTAGATGGTCAGTATGACCATTTCAGAGGGGGAATACAAACGGTTTTTAACATAAGGTCAATTAAGTAAATCAGTTACAAACTATAGTGGGTGTTTTAGAAAAACACAAAGTAAAGTATAGGGTAGGTTTTGGTAAATTAATGAAGTTATGATTGTGTTTTGATAAAGGGTTCAATTGGAATTATAAAAGTGGTAGTCAATCAGGTGTTATTTATCAAAATTCATGATTGGTCAAAACTCTTCCCATACCATATCTTTTCCGTATCATAGATTTTCCTTTTGATAAATATCCCTAAAAATAAATACCTCGCCAAAAATATATATTTTTTTAAGCTCAACTAAAAAGGAAATGCATCATGGCTGTGAGAGAATCTTTAAGGTTGTGTTTGGTTTGAAGAAAAAAGTAAGGAAAGGAAGGAAAAGGTGG